CAACCTACCTTCACTACAGTACAACGACCACATCAACACTCTATCAGGGGTAACGCTGCTAAGGAGAAACATACACATACTGCTGTCTTCCATTATAACAACAGTACTTCCCTGTACAACTACCTAAGATATGATTAAAGCAGTAACATGTAGCAATTTTCACAATTCTGCACAAGTTGTTAACTTGTGGTGAATGGTGCATATTAGAAGAGAAATATGTTTTTCATCAACATACAGCAGTTCTCCTGTTCTGATTTTAATCTTTATTCTTTGGATTACATTACTTTGATAAAAGATGTAAAATTTCAGCTGAATTCACAGCTAAACCTGAACACAAAAAAATTTCAGCTCCATCGGCTAAAGATTTGTGATTCAAAATTCAGTTGCAAGATGCCACTTCAAACGCAATACATACATTAAGTTAAGTAAAAGTTTGTTAATGTACTGACCTCTCTCAAGTGTAAACATAACAAATAATGCCTGATAACATAAGAATACAAACAATGTTAATATTAGTTAACTTGTTAACAGTTAATGTATTTTGCTTTGTAACAAACGACACCAAACTATAGTTGAAACTTGGTTCAATTTACTGCTGCTGTAATATGCTTATCATCGACCCATTAACTTTAACTGTAACTTTCAACAGTAATCGATAAGCATATTCAGCATTCATATGTTGGATATTGATTAGTATTCATACTCATTACTTCGTACAACATATTCAAAAGCACAAACGTTTCACAAACTAATCCTTCACATTACTCTAAATAATACCAATGGTAACCCATGCATTGAGCCTTGGACTTAGCTTTTAAGCAGTTGCCGTTATAAAACATTTACTCATTTTTATTTCAATAATTCAAACTTTATATTCTTAGTATCTTACTGCTTCATACCAGGTCTGCTGTCTATATTGTTGATCAAAACAATTAGCAGATAAAGAATACTAAATATAAAAGTAAGATTAGATCTCACCAGCCTGGTCATTGAATGTATTGCTTCTACAACACAGTGAGCCAAGCTTGCATAGCAGTCCAAGCGAAGTCAATTCACATACTGCCACCAACCATCGACCCTCAGCTACTGCCGCAGTCATGAACTGTAGCTGTAGCGACGTCAGCACAGGCAGGCGCACCGGTGTTGAGCTCACGTTTCCTCACCAGCAATAGGCAGCATCACTCCTCCATGCAGTGAAACAAATCAAAATTTAGTGTTTCAGTTCACTTAACTTTACACGAGCCATGTTAGCAGAATCCCCTAGAAATATTAGCACAATCACTTCAGTACGTGACATTCATTATCTTTCCTTACTATTCGTAAGAGTAAAGAACATAAGTATGACAAATTACAATGACAGGACTTAAGATTGTTTAGGGTTCTTTAACTTAGAAGAAAATTAGTAGGAATAGCTTGAACTTTGAACATTAAGTACACAATTTTTAATTTTATTTATTTGTAGCTTACACGTACAAATACACAAAAGCATTGTAGCTTTTCAAACGGGAATTGGAACGTACTCACCGTAAGTTTCAGTCATAGTTATACGTTACCACGATTTGCCACAATACCTCGTTCACAACGTACCTACTAAGTACTTTAAATACGAACTTACAATCAAACAAATGAAAAACTTTGAATAGGTAGGTAGTCAACTTGCCGTATCATGTAATAATTACATAGAAAGTAAGTAAAGTCGGAACGCATGGAAAATAATCGTATCCCACTTCTGATATTAGAAAACTTAAAAACTGACATAGAGTTCACCTTATTCTTTGATATTAGTAACTTATTTGTTTTATACCACATTGGATTTTAGAAACTCAGGAGGCAGGAGAAAAAAGAGTACCACCATTACAATTCATGAATTCACCTTATATTGTTAACATCGAAATCAAATTACAAATTCAGAATTAGCTAAACCATAACTATTAATTGGAAAGAAAAACAACAACAATAACACATGAATAGGCAAATTGACTTTCAAATAGAATAAAATTTCCTCAACACCAAATACGCCGTCTCAATAATTTCCGAGTTCCCGCCATCTTGAGTTTTTCATTGTTCGAACCACAGATTATATTTTCCCGCTACGCGATGACATTTCATTCCTTTTTGTCTATGCTTCTAACAATAGGTATACATAAATTCCCATAGTCCCAAAGCTCATTTAATTCTGTCCCGAAGTTCTCTTTTCATGAACATGTTTCTCACGATGTTTTCCTTGACTAGGTACTTGTCAGTGGTGTCTAAATAATCTTAGAAAGTACAAACATATACAACGTACGTGCATTATCTCGGAAAAGTCACACATTGGTATTTCTCGTAAGTTTCGAATCCGCACTCTCATGATGAGAAACGGACGTCTTAAACCTCCGGGCTACCACGACACAGTTGTTGTTTTATTGATTTACACAACACAGTGTTTTATTCCATTTGATCCCAGTCGAGCAAAAATCATTTAATAATGCAGCGGTTGCGCTTGTTGCCCAAGAGAGGTAATGAACTATGCTAGCTAACTATGATATGTATTGGCGCACGACGCACCTCCATACAGTGCGGCGGCCGTTCATACGTGAGCAGGTAGTACTCGTTTAACTTTTTCTTCCATACCTATTGTGTTGCATTTAATAAATAAACATATAATATTGTTTCTTTTCTGTTTATTTTTTTTGTGCATAGACCCGTTTTACTACTAATAATAATTCACATTGGTATAAAGTTCTAATCAATACAAAAATTATACAAGCCAAAACACATGGTAGTTACTGTAAACCGAAGAGGAAGTCCTTCGATTGTCTGTCGGCTCCATCATCAGGTCGACTCCAGACCATTCATTAACAGCCTATAAATGCCCCTTTTTTTTTTAATTGTAAGGGCTTTGTCGCTTAGCGACCATATCGCCCAGTTCGAGATAAACAATGATTAGTACTTATCACTAGCTTACGATCTACCTACTTATAACTAATTGATATAAATGTTTCGCTCCGTCAGATGTTGGATGAGCATTTTAAAATCTTTATTGAAAAACATAATAGACGCATTACTCGCCCATACAATTTTCGAAAGTTCCCATAACATTAGATTAATACGATTCCATCATCCCTTTTCCATAAAATTCCATCATAAGATACTAACCTAATGAAAGTTTGGTTCGTGTCCGCGACTAGTCAGATATGCCCAATGACCTTTAACAGCACATATTGATTGTTCAGCGTTAGGCTTTGCTTACACTTACACTTTACATACAGATTAAATTTCCGCTTATGTCCGCCTGTCTTTATTTGTCGCCTGAAGCCTGAACCAAGAACCACACTACAGCGTAAATTTTCCCGCCACACGATGACGTTTCTTTTTTTTCTCTATGCCTCGAACAACACAATCTTACTCTACGCAGTCTGCAGTCTATGGTTTACAATGAGACGGCGACAGACCAGTGTTGCCATTGCTACGGTAATTGCCGTATTTTATGGAAATGGCACCTTATTTTTTAATGATCTACGGTCTACGACAACAATAGTGTAGTGCCGTAACAAAATCTACGGCAATTTGGTTAATTCAACAAGTTAAAAGGACTAAAGGATGTTTTTAATATTAACATCGACAGTGTATGGATTAGAGTCTGGCAAACGAAAGTAGAGACTAAAAAAGCCCAGCTAAAAAATATCAGTATAGCAAACGTCTGGTTACTCCAGGTATGACATACTAATTTTTGGGTTGCTATACTGATATTTTTTAAATTTGCCGGGCTTTTTCAGTCTCTACTTTCGTTTACCAGACTTTATAATTGACTAAAGAATAATATGTTCGACACTATAGTGAAGGAGATACTCCTACTGGACAAAGGACCAATGTTTCAGAAAATCAAATAGTTTAATCAGTAAGTATTTATAACTAAGTAGTTTTTAAGTTACTGTTGCTTTTTAATTAATTTTATCGAAATAATTATGAAAAATATAGACCTTCTGTTCACTAAAATAAATTAAAAATACTTATAGTGTTTGAATGTGGCTACGGCCTCCGAAAATATATTTCCCCAACCTCAATAACAAACATGGCAATTATTTTCCCTGCAAAGAAGCCAAACACGGCTGACGTGCGTCACAGCAGTCCACCAAATTCCAAAATTTATTATTCCTGGCAACACTGCGACAGAGAGACTATAATTATTTTTTACTTTAATAAATAATTTCTATATAAGATAATACGTATATATTTTTTATAAATCTACTAATTATTGTCCCGCGAACCGAAATCATTAAATCAATAATTATTAATAGGATGCTTGCTGAAGTCGTACGTAAAGTGACTTATATTTAGAACTGAAGGCTGATAACACTATTGTACTTGCGACGGACGAGTGGACGACGAATCTTTTTTTGTTTACTATTATTATCATGCTATGAATACTTACCGTCTACCTATTATAATATAGATAGCTAACATGAGCATAATTATGTATAGTGTTTGCTAGATTGAATTGAAATTCTTTACGTAACGGTGGTTATCTAATTTTTTTAAATTAGTGTATCTTGTTTTCTGTGAATATATTTAGGTAGTACTGAAATTAAAAATTAATAGCAGTTAAATCAGTAGGTAATCTCAATTTCACAACAGTATTGTATCATATTATCAGTTATCACCAATTGATTAAGATAACCTGCAGGGGGGTCATCATCGAATAAAGTCTTTCGACACGTATGAACGACTTGAATAGTATTGAATTCGCAGTTCAGTGGAACTCACAACATTGTGGACTTTATTTGTTGATAATAAATTATTGTTGTCGTGCGCACGTATCGATTGATTTCTCGGGCTTCGGTTAAAAAGCAACAATTATTTCCCAGTGATCAGTGTACCTCTGCGTTTGTGCGTTGTGATGTGTGTGTAACTGTAAAGCTTTTCATTTTTTAAGTTATTGTTCTGAATTAATTTGTGTATTATATTTTTGCGGTGCGCAGAACCAGTGACGTATAGAGTAGTCCGATTGATTGCCGGCCATGTCGCAGATAAAGTTGATAAGCCGCGCTAGTCGCGTGTTGTCCGTGTCCGGTGTAGCAGTGCGGGCAGAATTAAGCGGGACGGTTTTACCACAGCCACAAGGAAATCATACGAGCGTTAGAACCATGGCGAGCGCACAGAAAAAAACTTTAACTTTGGAAACATTGAACCCAAACATTACAAAATTAGAATATGCCGTACGTGGACCTCTAGTCATCCGCGCCGCTGAAATAGAAAAGGAGCTTGAGAAGGTATGTTCTGAATATTTTCGATTATTATTTCGTAAAATAATGTTAATACATGTCATATTCTTCTTTTGATTTATTGTTCAAGCATAAAAAGTAGTACTTACCTACTTAAGTATTGATCAATACCTGCCTGAAGTGAAAGTTCTTAGAGTTTGTTGTTATCTCTAAAGGCAAATATTTATCAAAATAATGTATGAATTTTACTCATATTTGGTATTTCAAGGCATGTTTAAGGTCATTTAGTAATTTTCTTAGTATTATTAGTTGCCAGTAAGTTAAATTATGTTATAAACAATTATTGTGTATACTGTCACTGCAGTGTATCATCTCAACATATGTTGTTACAGTCATACACAGTATGACTTCATTTTTGTGATCATTATTTTAACATAGGTAATTTATTTATTATGTTGCAATGTTTTGTACTGATGTCACCAGTAAATATATTCCACGAATTGAGAGTTTATTAACCTCACCCACATGCATATTTTTTTATAGGCAATTATCACAAAACATTAAATAGGATAGAGCTTTTTACTTATGATATAAACAAAATTTTACATACTTAAATCTCCTGTTATCACTAATCATGACAAGTGCCCAAATGATGCATATGTTATTAAAACATAATTATGGTATAACATGTTTTGTTGCTTCATATTATTACTGGGGTTATCATCAGTTGCCATTAACAATATTCGTATAAACCAAATGTAGTGTTGATTGATGTTGCAGTCATCCTATAGTGAGTTCTTCAATTCATATAATAGTTACCTACCTGAAATTACATGGCCGGTACATACATTTACTTCCACTCTTTTTCTGAAAGAAGAAGAAAGTGTATCAGTCAACCTACACATTTAAGGTCTATGGTATTGAATATTTTGCTTCACTTCAAATGCAATAAAAGGTCTCTTATACATACCTTGGAACAGGTGTTCCTCATAGATCACATTATAAATGACAATTCTGCTCTCAGCTACAAATTCTCTAAGCTTGTAACTAAATATTTAAAAAATAAATAAATATTCAAACAGCTGTCCATTTGGACTGGCTCCATCTGAAGTATTATTCTTACCTAGCATAGCTACAAAATTGAAGCCCCACATTTAATACATGAAATCTATAGGTAGTGCCTAAGAGCATCCAGCTTAGAACACCAGAATCACTCAACTATGTCTATGTACTTAACCCGTTGAAATTCATCCCCTAAATTTGTTCATACAAAAGTAGTCTTTAAGCATTCGAAATAAGGTCTATAATATAGGTAGTGGAGAGCGGTCACCGGTGACCGCTTGGGATTCTATGGGTTAAGTAAGGTACCAATTTGTTACTTTATTATCATTATCTTGTGATTTTTTTATTAAAAAAATCTTAGTATTTTTTGTGCATAATTAGGTGTTAGGTCAGCGCAGACTAGTAAATATTCATATAGCCCATCTCAATTGAATTGTTTGCCCAATAAGTACTATTCCTCGTTTCTTTCGTAAAGTAATAATTATCTCAATCTCAACACTACGAGATTAGAATTCACGCTGAGTTGTTAATTAGTTACTGAAATATTTATGGAGTTTTTTTTATCACTATCGCAGGTACCTATTGTCATAAATTATAATTTACAAGCAATAATTCCTTCATTGTTAACCTGTTGTATGCCGGAACACGGAAACCATAAGAGACACAATGTATTTTTTATTGTCTTGTAAATACTGGCAATCAAGTGGTGAAGATGAAGCTATTTATGCTATTGTCTTTGTTTTGACCATTTACTCTAAAGAAAAACAAAGTTTAAGAACTAGTCTGTATTATCATGAAACAGACATATTTGACGTTATCCAGTATGTATAATGGATTTAATCATTAACTGCTTGATTGCCGGTATGTGAGACACAATAGACAATACTTTGTGTCTTGCATAGATCTACGTTGGCATACCACGGGTTAATAGAGCCTTATGTTCGAACAATAAATTGGAATGGTATCTACCTGAACAAATTTACACATTGTAACTATACTGATTCTCTTGACACTAATTACAGTTGATAAGACACTTAGGTGTATTTACCTAGTTATTTGTGTAATTGTACAATAGTAGTAATAGTTAGCAGAGTCTACTTTTAAAACATTTTAATAAAAAGTTGCAATTGTGTACAGAAGACTATTGGCGTCGGCAAACTACAGTAGTTATGTGCGAAATTGCATGTCAGTCGATAGCAGCACACTGCGCCACTTTATGACATTAATAATGCAAGAATAGGCCAGTCGGGTAGGTAGTAGGTACCAAGCTAGCTCACCTACTTCACATAAGGTCACGAATCTATGGTTCATTGTACCAGGGTGTTCAGGTACAACAAACGATAAATCGTCGTGGCAAAACAACGTGCCATCGCTGGCCATCAGTCGTCTCGTTATGTTCTTATGTTACGGTTGCTGCCGGTCTGTCGGCAGCTAACCGAGTGTGAAACGGTTGTGGTCAGTGTGGTGGGCATTATGTAACACATACCTGTGACAGTGACACACTGTGCCACCGTGCCACTGACAACTGTAGGCCAGGGCCTTGCTAACTAGAGATAAGTTATTCTTTTTAACCGACACAAGCGACATCAGAAAATTTAGAACTTCTTCCTACTCAGGTTCTCAATTGGACCATATTTTTTTTATAAATTACTAGCGACCCGCCCCAGCTTCGCATAGATGCAATATGCATGTATTATACATATAAACCTTCCTTACGAATCACTCATTCTATTATTTCTATTAAAGAAAACCGCATCAAAATCCGTTGCGTAGTTCTAAAGATCTAAGCATACATAGGGACAGACAGACCGCGGATAGCGTCTTTATTTTTATGTAGTGATAGTGATAGTCAGGTACTTTATGTTCATATCGATCCAGTAGTGAGTTTAAATTTTAAAGATTATTTTTCCTGTACTAGTAAATAGCATAATTAACAGGTAACAAATACCTACCCACAAAAGTTTATGTCGCGAAAAAACAAAAATAACGAAGTAGGTACACGATGCACTCTACAGCGGTGTGTGGAATTACTAGGATGTAGATGTACACATTGTGAATGTCCTTAAAATAGATATGCGCAAGCACGAGTCGTTGCAACTGGTACTTATCCGAGAATTCGCATTTAGTGTAAACTTCGATTAGACCACCTCGCAGTCTTTGACAGTCATAGTCAAGAAGACTGAAGAAGATACTTTTGACGTTTCAAAAGTGCCTCATTACGGATTAATTGAAATGAATGCTTCATTGATTTTGAAGCGAACCTGGGATTCGTTACATGCCAGTCGTTTAGCCGCTAGGCCAGTGCAGTCTAGTAATAAATGAAAAGTACTTAGAACTCCATTTACGTATTCAAATAGGTACTCTGTACAATGTACACACGGCCACACATCAATCTATACAAAACCAGTTTATCCTGGTGTCGCGTCGCGTCATCTTTCCGCACATTTAACGTTCAGTTTATACTGGTTATGTAAAGCTCGATGTGTAGCCGTGTGTACAACAATTTACAAGAGTAACAACCGCGTCTCCTACAAGTTACAATTTGTACTTTACCTACATCTTTCATTACTTTTTATCAACAACGCTTGCTATCAATAGAATACAAGACAAAGATTGCACAATCAATGCTTAGTAACAGAATCATACGTTGTCGACACAACTTTAGGGAATTAGGTAACCTAGGTAAGGTGTAATTGAATGTACAATGGTTGTTATTGTTTGTCGGCAGGGAGCACAGAAGCCGTTCAAGCGAGTGATCAAAGCAAACATCGGAGATGCTCACGCCATGGGACAGCAACCCATCACCTTCATCAGACAGGTAAGGACGTCTGCCCTCACTCGTCAATGGCAGCAAAACGAATCGAATAATCTGTTAGCTGTAGAACTATACACATAGTGTCAAACGAACCTAACAAACGAAATCTGATAATCTGATAGATGGTTAATAATCGCTGGAAGGTTGCTGAGATAGGAATGTTTCGTGTACAGGACTGTACTGTACATATAGGTATACAGATTGCACTGTCAACAAAATACCTAAATAGATAAGTAACCACCCAGGTAACGTTGGCTGACTCGAGCAAGTAGGTAGCACAGCTGCAGTTTCCGTCTACTAATGGTTTTACTGTCAACATTCGTTGGAATATTAGCATGGAAGATTGAAACATCAATGCTTACTTATATCAGTTCATCGAGGACGTAGATGACCCGGTGTCAATAGTCAATACCCAAACAGTTGATTACAGGCCAGACTACAGTAGTTTTATGTTTATTTCTGTGCAATTCAATGAACTCGTTTGAAAGAAGGCAGGTTATAGTGGAATGAGAGACTTATGTTACATCAACAGGCTTGGATTTGCATTCTGCTGATAAGGAATAGGTAACTACCATGTCGGATGCGTAGTGCGTAGTAGCGACTGCTAATGATTAAGTAGGTATTGCATAAAATAGTAAACAAATACAAAATAAGCAAATATAAGTACCTAATGAACTGTTTTCAGTTCATTGATAACAAACTCGCGTTTTAGATAATTATCGAATCCTGAATGACTTGTTGGCACAATATGCTATTATGCTAGAAATATTCCATTCAGTCCAGCACGTGACAGAGGTTTCTCTAGCCAGTAGCTACAGTTATGTAGGACCTAGAACAGATTCAACACTTGCCTACATACATGACTATAATGTGCTGCCACCGTAAGGATATATGTATTCAGCAATAGGTATCTAGGTATATCTATCGTTCATTCAAACATTTCCGTGCACAGGTCCTCGCTTGCGTGTCGGATCCAGACCTGCTGGAGTCCGGCCAATACCCGTCCGACGTGAAAGAGAGGGCCAAATCGATACTGGCTGCTTGCGGGTCAGTATTTTCTACCAACTACTTATGTAATTACTTACCTACCTATGATACCAACTAGGCAACACATAGATAACGTTTGTACTGCACTGTTACAGTGGCCAGTCAGTGGGCTCGTACACAATGTCGCACGGCATCGAGCTGATCCGGCGCCACGTGGCGGAGTACATCGAGCGCCGAGACGGACACAAGGCCAACTGGCAGGACATCTGCCTCACCGGCGGAGCTTCCAACGGCATCAAGAACTGTCTGCAGCTACTCTGCAACAAAGTCGACGGCAAGGACACAGGTCAGTACCGAACTACCGACCACACTCCTAGTCTGTAACACCAAGCCGGTAATGTACAGCAAGGTCGGTAAATATACAGCAAGGTTATGTAGCGGTCTCTCTGCACTTACACTAGTACCTACCTGTGTTGTGTTAGTAATTATGCAACTTTCTATTCTTGCGGTAACACTTGTGCGTTGTGTAGGTAGGTATTTAATTACTTAACGTGCGCTAGTTGCACACCGACACAACGGAACAGCGTGGCTGTGTCGGTTTAATTATCTCGTTGTGTTTGTAAGTATTGTAGCGTGGCGAAGTAATTATACTTCACCTGCTAGTGTGTGGGGCAACGTTTAATAAAATACCTACAGTGTGAAGGTGTCATATGTTCTCAAACTTCCAGTCTTGCCTCACTTTTCACTGAAGTTACATAAGTCCAGTCGATAAGTAACATATTATGAAAGGGAGTTGCGTCTGCGCACATTTTCAGTGGATTGTGATTTATCTGTCGATCTGTATTGATATGAGTTCATTAACTTTGCACTGATGTAATCTTGTAATCTTAATTAGCTGCCGGTTATATTGGTCGCCATCAGCGCATGGATAGCGAGCGTTCACTGGCGATAGCAACTAGATGGAGGTACACTTCTATCACTAGTGATTATGTTTGTACTGTCTTTATTGTGTACGTACTTCTATGTAAAGTATAGTTAACAATTACTACGTGATCCATGAATATAAGTTCATTTACATAGTTGAAAAGTGCAAGAAACAAATGTACATTAACCTCCCACTCCTATCCCTGCCTAAGGCCAGTATAGTATCATAAACAAACTCGGAAAACCAAATTTTTCTATAAGGCATTCGAACATGACGTTTGTAGAAGAAATAAGTATTTTAACGTTGGATCCGTCAATAAGTTAATACATACATAAATTAGACTAGGCTAGTGTAAATATGAAGACCTCACGACGTAGTATGTATGTGCAAGTAATGAGAAATGTTTCCGAGCGCGCGAAATGACAACAAGAGGACAAAGGCAAGGTCAACTCGCTGAGATTGAACGAAACGTGTTTCGAGTAGGTATCGCGTGTGTGTACCTGACCAGGTACATAATACTGAACATTATACCATTGATATCCGAAATATGAAGGAATACGGATGACCGGGTACATTATGGAGAAGGTGCATGCAGCACTCACATCCTGTTTACACCAGTTAGGGATGTCATTGCAGGTGTCTCATGGACATAGTTAATAGGTAATTAATAGGGACATCTCCAACTCGCCTGCCAAGCTAACCCATACGTATTTTGTTGTAGAGGAGCCCCATAGTGTAGCAGTGGATGGGTCACACCGACTGATTACATACCAGCCTTTTTTTTTTTTTTTTATGGGGGGAAAATCATCGAATGACTGCTCCCGCCCGGGTGAGGCGGAAGGGAGTGTCAGACTCTTACTGACTAAAAACCACCCCGTTCCTTCTCCTGCACGTCGAGCCGGAGCCCCGGTTACCCGTTAGGTTCTCCGCGACTCCGAATCGGCATCGGCCCTATTGGGCCCCATCTGTGGTGGTCTGATGGCTCTTTGAGGCGCGCGCGGAACGCGACGCGCCGTACGCTCGGGTCTGTTTCTGGTCGGACGGGGAGCCACCCATGCTCGCCGTCCGCAGGCCCGCGCTTACGGTGGCCGGAGATCGTCCCGCGATCCCCGACGCCCGGTGTGTCCTTCGCGATGGCTGGGTTGCGAGGAGGCAGCGCTTCGCTGCCTCACGCGTCCCGCCTCCTCCTTAGCCAGCATGACTGCTTCGCAAAAGGAGGAGACGGCATCCCAGTGCCCCTCGCTCCGCATCATGGCCTGAACTAGGCCCGGACGCGAGAGGTCTCCATCGCCGATCACTTCCCTGAGGGCACGGCGGTGCTCAGCCCACGCAGGGCATTCCGCAACAGTGTGTTCCACCGTGTCCTCAGGGTGGTCCTCGCAGTGATGACACCCGGGCGTTTCCTCCCGCCCCATCAGACACAGGTACCTCCCGAAACTTCCATGTCCGGTGAGGACCTGCGTCAGGCGGTAGGTGAGGACGCCGTAGCGTCTCTCAAGCCACTCCTCAAAGAGGGGACTTACCGCTGCAATGGCAGCGAGCCCATACATACCAGCCTTGCACGTTAGAGTTTATTACGTTGTCGCACTACTGTAGTGACGTACTAGTTACTATTGCCTCTCGTTCCGTGCCATTAATATTAACATTAGAAATAACGTGTGTTCTGTACCGGAATGGTTCGCACATAACATTCGTTCAAGGTTAAAGTAATTCATATCGATTACCTTTGTTAGAAGGCACTGCGACTGACAAAGCTGTCCATCTCTTTCTATCGGAGCATGTGATGAGTTACTTCCTTCCACTGCATACTTTGCAATCTTGCATACATTGCTTCAATTTATCAACTTCTCTTTCCATTTCAAGAGGGTGTAGTAAGATATTAATGTTGAGCCTCTATTTCATTTAATTATTTATTGTGTACCAAGTATGAGGTTACAATAATAAATTAATGCAGCAGCCAATATTATGCAATGTCTCCTTTGACCTATGTCGGGTGTTAGACTGTTAATAGAACACTGTTGAAGGCCTCGACCTTGCGAAATCTTTCTTTATCTAGTGTGTTTCCTACGACGTACTAAATATGACATGTCAAGTGAGCGTCCCAGTCCAAGCCATGCCGTGTGTAGTACTGTAGCAGCAGGTGGCGCCGACGTCGTGCGGCCGCGCGGTGCTCGCCTGCAGACGATATACAATCACACGGCATTATAATGTCATGTCGTAAACAGTGAGATTACCGCGCTCTATCTACACTTACTATTATTCTAACGTTGATAACGAAACATTTTGATGATTGCGAAAATTTCCACTAATTGGGATGATGTCTAAATGACTCTAATGGCACTCTGGTTCAATTATTAAAACACACAAGTTAGACAACGTTGGATAAAAGCATTTTTGTATTGTTGATAAACGTTTATGATAATGAACATGAGAAGTACCTAGTTCTTTCTATAAATATAGAGAAAAACAATTCCACTCGAATCAATATGCTAAACAAACTAGTTTAGTAAAACAAATATTACTGTCACTAAAGAAATGAAATGCATCGAATGTTACAGCGGTGTTGATCCCGATCCCCCAGTACCCGCTGTACTCGGCGTCGCTGGCGGAGTACGGACTGGGCCAGGTCGGGTACTACCTCGACGAGGACCACAACTGGGCGCTCGACATCAACGAACTGGAGCGCGCCTTCCTCGACGGAAGCAAGACACACGCCGTGCGCGCCATCGTCGTCATCAACCCCGGCAACCCCACCGGACAGGTATGTACTGGACCACACACTCGCGCTTGTACTGTCTGGGGTTTGACCCACTTAGGTATGACCTCCTGATCCGAACTTCGCTAGAAAAAAGCTATCTTATCATTAATTCCATATTATTAGGTAAAAACCTACTGATAAAAATATCAAACAATATTTCACGATGAACGAAGAAAATATCTATTTTAATCACCTTTTTACACACAGATATTAAATATTTGTTCAGAAAAACATTAAAGGTTCTGAATATATCAGGTGCTGACACGCAGTAATATCGAGGATATAATAAAGTTCGCCCAGAAGCACGGTCTGTTCGTGTTCGCGGACGAGGTGTACCAGGACAACGTGTACGACAAGGACAGCAAATTCTTCTCCTTCAAGAAGGTGGGTCGCACTCTTCACACACATTATAAAATTAGATCAGTCTGTCCAGAACTACCTGTATACTTACTACTTACGACTTCAAAGATCATAGAAACCTAATGTTTGTCCTGCGGGGTTATTATGTCGTCCTAAAGTCAGAACGGTTCCATTGTAAGACGTCATAATTCGCTACTTGTGCTGTCTTTCATACAAATATTATAATGCCCCCAAAAAGAAGTGTTCCATTTTTTGATATTGGAGCATCCAATAATAAAAAATGTAGTATCCAGCCACCTATGTGTAAATGAGTGACGCAGTCTAAAGTATAGTTACTTACTGCTACGGTTATCAACATTAGTTTATAGAAGTATTAATGGCCAAGTCGCGACATCTGTATAATTATGTCGTCACACTTATTATGTTTTCATGACTCTTTTGTTGTTGGTCTGCTTATTTGATCAGTTGAAATTATAATTTAATATTTTAGATGACTGTTTTCAACGTATGAGCTATGCAAAGGTCAGAGTATAAGATTCCTCTGAGTTTGTTATTATGTCGTTGTAAATAGTTATTACTTGATAGATATTTGATAGGCAATAATAATGTGAATGTGCAGGTGATGCGGGAGCTGGGCGCCCCGTACGACTCGATCGAGCTGGCGTCGTTCATGTCCATCAGTAAAGGGTACATGGGCGAGTGCGGGCTGCGCGGCGGCTGGATGGAGCTGTGCAACATACAGGCCGGCGTGCAGGCGCACCTGTACAAGGCCATCTCCGCCATGCTGTGCCCCACCACGCTGGGGCAGACCGCCGTCGACTGCGTCGTCAGTACCCCCAGCCACACTTATACATTCAACTAAACATTACTAAAACAACATTCCAACTTCATTTTCCACAATTCTATATTACAACATTCCAATAATTCCGACTTCTAAACAAACCACCGACTAAACATTCGACAATTTATAAACAATCGCGCGAAGCGCTCCAAATTCAAAATTAAAAAACCTTTTTTTTTAAAAAAACAATTATTATGTTTGAGTGCTGATGCAAAAAACTAAACTTTCATACCATCATATCATGACTTCTACTAATTAGACCGTCTATTGATGTTCCAATAGCAACAAATTGTATAAAGTTGTTATGTCCAGGCGCGGACCCCGATGCCAGGCGAGCCTTCATACGAGCTCTGGAACAAGGAGAAGACGGCAGTACTGGAGTCTCTGAAACAACGAGCCAAGATGATCGTCGACACATTCAACAGCATGGAGGGCTTCTCTTGTAACGTAGTGCAGGTCCGTACTAACTGCTACAACTGGCACTATAAACTACATATTATAAAGTTGGACTCGCCTTACACACAGATTATTTAGTATCTAACATACATTATTTGTTCCTAACATAACCGGTATTGTGTTGAATGTGTAACAGTTCACATAATAACAAAATAATTAATATATAATATAATTTCTGGTTACCAATTACGTATAATTTAATATATAATGAACATTTCTTATAATTCATATTGACAAAAATGTAAATATTGTCAATCCTTGAGGAAAATAATATAAAACAAATATGTAATAAATTTAAATTTCTAAGTGTAACTAATTCTAAAATAAAATCCAGCTAAAATGGAATTCTATACAAAGCTATATTAGAAGTATTTATACATAAATGTGTCTGACTAGGACTCTGACTCGGATAGGTTAGAGGTTATGTTAGAACTGTGAGGGAAACTACTATATCAGGTCAGGTTAGGAACAAATATGTATTTTTTAAATTTCCTGATGTACCCCGCGACCGTGTCTGGCCAGTAGTAACCGCCAGTGTCCGGTTACAGGGCGCGATGTACGCGTTCCCCCGCATCGAGCTGCCCCCGCGGGCCATCGCCGCGGCGCGCGCTGACAACAAGCTGCCTGACGTCTTCTACGCGTTCAAACTGCTCGAGGAAACTGGTCAGTAAAGTGCAATTCAATAACGTGATATTTTACAGCCTGAAAACCTAAACCTTCCTCAATAATTTTCTAATACAGAAAGAATTATTCAAATCAGCTCGTTGCTCCAACAAACAAACTTCAATAATGATGTTCGTATGTGTCAGGTATCTGCGTGGTCCCTGGTTCTGGTTTCGGCCAACGTCCCGGTACGTTCCACTTCCGCACCACCATACTGCCACAACCCAAGCAGTTGCAGGAGATGCTGGACATCTTCAAGGACTTCCACCAGAAGTTCACAAAGGAATACTCGTAAACTCACACACCAGTCACGACTGAACTACTGCTTGCTTGTAGCTGCGAACTGGACCTCTCCTAATATATTACTCGTTACATGTATAGATCTCACTATATTATGTATAGTCGTCGTCAGTACACGTACACCTCACTTGCTCAAAACTGCATATTTAAGAACACTAAACAAAAATAACCGCTTTTATTTCTACAACAGTGCAGCTATTGTCTTATTGAATTAAATTATGTATAAGATGAGCATTTTAATCGCTGAAAAAACTACTTAATACTTCGCAGCTTCAAACATGTAATAATCTGTCAGTCTGTGCAAATGTAGGACTAGTTCCTGCTCTATAGGTCAATATTAACATTTGTATGAATTGTGTAAGTTATCTGTACGTCGCCTCGTAGTCGACAGTAATGCATGCAGGTTGCGATTTAATTGTATTTGCAAGCTCACTCTGAGATTACGCTGACACATTTTTAATCTACGTTTTTATAATCAATAATAAACGATATAGAAACGTTTTGAGAAAAGGATTGTCATTGAATATGTCAGTCGTCATATAGTGCCATATTGCACTAGTCGGTACTCGCATCAACTCGTCTCAGTCTGGTCACCTTCTGTACCAGACATACTATTGTATTTACTTTGTTTTGTATTTTTACGCAGGTTTTATTATAATAATGCGATTGTATTTATATTATTTTAAGAGCAACACCTTTTTATTTTAATTATTTTTGTACCGCAGTACTCATTTTTGTTATTAATTTGTGTTTAATCAATTAAAACAATAATCAGAGTATAACATAACTTTATTGTGTTGTACTCGTTTAACTTTAAGTGAATATTTTTATTGATTGTGTATTTATACTAATTATTACTGTAACATTATTTGTTTTATTTTTAAAATGAAACTTGCCTTTACTAACTATTACTGAAATGTATAACATTCTGGTCTACTGGTGCAATACAATTATTGGAGACATTCCGAACTGGAATAAAGTTTAATGCAAATAATGTGATTTCGTTGATACATTAGTTAAGTGATTGTTATTGCGTTGTTGAAAATCGAATAAAATGTATAGCAAAACATTTCCTGGTTTTAATTTATTGATTGTTCATAAAAGGTATATTACTTTAAATTATGGTTGAATGGCGCTATTTCCCATAGAGCCATAGTCTGCTACACAAATGTAATCATTAGTCGTAACACCAGATAAAACCTCCAATAGGTCAGCATGTAGTTTCTTATTCCCGATCGGTCTGCATTGCTGTTGCTTATTCCCAAAGCTTCGAGGTTTTCAGGGCTATCAATTACTACATGTTTTTATGAAATCGATATATTTAAACGATTCGATCTAAAATATTAATTTGTTAAGTATTAAGAAGCACATTCGATTTTAAATTAGAAACAGGACACTAATTATTGTGTAATAAATTGATACTTATTACAAATAAATTGATAATTAATAGGCCTTATTCTAGCATTGGTCAAGTGACGCATTACAAAGTAAAGCGAATGACCTTACTGCAACATTAATGCGATAACAAACCAGAGATGAGTGTGCTGATGTGCCATGCAATGTAGAAGAGTGCCTGATTAAAAACATTTAGCAAATGTACAGTGACGCAGCTCGTATGTAGATTTTATATCTAGCATGATGATATATAACAAGTGAATGAAGCAACGCCATCTTTCTTTTGAAAATAAAACTGTTTGTATTCTATACGTCAACTAAACAGAAGTGGCGTTTGGCCAAAGGCACAGGGCAGATAGTAATCTGGCGAAGACGTTTAACTCGAGATTGTGTAGAGGGCGCTAGCAGGGACTTGGACACAAACAGTGCAATGTTGGCCAGGGCCTGTGTTCGTATTGTTTTTATGTAGGTATTCCGCACTCGTGCCAATAGGTTCAGTTATTGGCTCACCTACTTCCGAGTAGGTCAACAATTTGTTTATTGAACGATCCCGACTAGTTTCAAGAATCATTGAAATACAGGCTAAGTAGGCAATAAAACTAAAAAAATATGGGTAATGAGTACTAAAGTAATGTATACTTCAGTATAATCATCAAAATTATGTAATGCCTAGGTCAGTAAATAGTTTTTATTTTCTGAAGATAATAAACGCCACTTTAACCATGTTTGATAATTTTAGTAAATTCTTAAGTACTTATAAATAGATATTGTTCAAGCTGTAATAAAAATATATAATAGATATGAATATACTTATATCAATAAATGACCTTTGTCCCATGGGAATAGTCAGGAACTACAAATACGATATTAGTTGATGAAGAACCTAAATTACACCTACATTACCTGTGGTGTATTATAGCAGGTAGGTACAATAATTAATGTCTATGTCTGTACCAACGTATACAGAATGGCCAGCCAGTTATGAAGTTTATTGTTTACTACGTCTTCGTTCGTGATTAGAAGATACAGATGGTAACTATGGTAAGTAAGTAGGTACCTCTAGTACCCCTGCTAGTACTACGGTAAGTAGAAATAATCAATGAACATCGTACCGGACTCTAAATCGTGTTGTGGACACTGAAGTGAGTGCACTTGCAACATATTGACCACGGAATATAGCTATATTCCGTGGTATTGACCAACTGTAACTTCACTTGCTGTACAAGTAATAAAAGTTAAATCAATTACATTGATTTAATTCTAATATTCATAATAATCTTTACCAGTACAACATCGTTTACATTCTAAGTAAGTATATCTACTTATTAAAATATGATCTCCTTTCTTCCAATTAGTATTGTATGTCGTCAAGTGTTGTAATATTATCAGCGGGTACAAGAGGCTCTCGATGCGGCGATAGGCTGTGATCCCCCGGACTCTCGCCGAGCGCCGAGTGGAGAGAGGGCCGCGGCCTCGGATCGAGCACGCAGCGGTCGCGCACCGGATCACCGAACAAACTCGACACGTTCGGGAATACAGGAACCGTATGATTCATATACCTACCTATACCAAAGGGCCTAGTATCACTTTGTTTTACGTTTGATGAGATCGAAATGTTACCGCGCTTGGCCGCTTAGCGAACGTCGTAACATTCCGATTTTGTTAAACGTAAAACCAAGTCGTAGTAAGCTCTCACTTCAACTGCACAGCGCAGATGCTGTTTTATCTATTGTATGAAATTTGTGGCCTATCAGAAGGATAGACAAGACACAAACAAATTGTGTAAAAAGCAAGCTCACGCACGATGCAGTCCTTCCTATATATGTATATCGGTAAAAATGGCTTTTTTGAATATCGCGTATAAGTAAGGTCATAATAAATCTGTGTATCTACATATTTTATTTGTATGTGTAGGTCCCGATTGTACCCTACAAATTATTGTAGTTCGCTAGTTGCTCACATGTTCCTAGACAATTTTCTTTATCATGTGTAAATTGTAGGCTACGTTGAGCCAAGGTGATGTACCTAGATCTTACAGGTAGATAACCGACTGTTTTCCTGTTACGATATTGTTCATCTTAAACTACATTATAGTTTACCTGTTTAGGACCGTAGCAACAATCGTCTGAATATTTTTTGTCACACATCAATACAAAGAATCACTTACTTAGGACAATTACAATAAGCTATAGGGAAAACACTGTCAAACTGCCGAAATTGTGAATCCCCCCGCGACGTATAATGCAGACGTGATCTGTTTCTTAATTCATTAGCTCAACTGATAACTTTGGTAATGATTGACACGTGGTGTGGTATCTGCTAGTTTTTCTAATTGTCATTTACCGAAATAATGAATAACCAATCTATGTTGTAGGTGCTTAACCTCTTTATCTAAGTATCAAGTACTATCTATGTATGGGACGAGGGAGGTACCGGCCGGCGGCCGCCAGCATCAGTTTATCGGCTCGAGCTAAGATGTATTGTTTCTTGCAGAGTTAAGCAAACGATAAAGAGGGAATCACCTCGCGACGCTCACATTGTGCGCTGATAACGTGGGGGCTCGTGTCATTAAGGTGTGCACACACAGGTGTTTTAATTATGTACCTATCTAATATCTAGTCTTTGATAGCCACCAGTACGTCATCTACCCCGTATGAATGGCGGTGGCATTAGCTAGCGAAGGTATTATAAAACTTGTGGAAGCTTATGTTGATAAAGTGGGCGAGCAGGTCGCGTCCGACGGGAGCGATGGCGGCTCGCTGCTACAATGAGCTAGAAAAATGCAATCATTTGTCTGGAACGTTTATAAAAGTGAGCGGTCACAGCTCCACTACTGCTGTATGTTGGTGCTTTGTGTGAGACTATGTTTGTGCGTACACTATGCACATGTATGCACTATGAAGTGAATATATTATCAGTTTGTAAACTAAGTATTGTTGCCAAACACCACACTAACGCATGGTAATTGTGCAACAGAGAATTACTTGATAATACAAAATCTTATTATTGCATGAAAGAAATAGGTAGCGGTAGGTACCCATTTATAAGTGTCTGTCCATTTGTGGACTACTTACTAACTTGGACTTGTAATTTGAATAAAAAGTAAATTGATTTTGAAGTAAAATTACTGTAGACCGAAATCCAGCAGGGCTTCAAGTGCGTGTGCGCCAGACATACACAGTGCACCTGTAACTACACGCATACTTACTTGGACGCTATATTATATATTTTAATATTACTTCTCATTCATTAGGATTATAATTATCTTCCGTTTTAAGCGTGTTTACAAACAAATACCCACACACACACACACGTCAGACCCAGATCTGGGACAACAATTTGTGAATCGATCAGGAATCGAATCGACCCATTGCGCTGCAGCTCTGAAAAGTATTATAGTTACATATTATTACGTTGTGGTTTCAGGGTCCGTATTTTTTTATTTTGTTATTTCTTTAAGAAGACAACAAGACAAGTAAGTTCCTAGTATAAACAAATACTTAAATTAAATAATAATATGTGCAATTAATCTTTTTGAATGACGTTTTCATTCGTTTTCATGAATGGAATTTTACTTGTATAATATTGGAAAAAATAAAT